TAAAAAAATATATATAAAATTATATTTTTTCCCTTCATAAAAAAAAAAAAAAAAGTGACCTTAAAATCTCGAAAGCATTTGTATATATAGAACCGAATCAGACTAATTTACAGAATGCAATTGAAAGAGAGAGAAACCCCCTATAATTTTTATTATAAATTTTTTTTTTTTTTTTTAGAAATGGATTAGTTTCAGCAATATACAGCCGTTATGATTTAAAATAAGACACTATGTATGTATATGTGTGTGTATGCGCGTATATATGTAAACACACATAATTCTATTTTATTATCATAAATGATATAATACATTAAAAAGGTGCATGCAAAAACTCTTTTATTTCTTTTATATAAGATATCCTACTGTCTAACAATACAACAAAACAAAATATTTAATTAAAAAAATAATATAAGCTTTAATTTCAACAACAAACAAAAATGATATGTAAATAATATAAAACATAAACCAACCTATTCTAAATAACAGAAATTTTGTTTAACATCAATGTACTGCGTGTATATAAACCAGGAGTAAACAACTAAAAATTAAAATAAAATCAGTATAATAAATATCTAAAATTGTGTATCATTGATGAATATAACAAACAAAATTTTTTTGCATTTTTTCTTAAAAATAATAAGGTAACAATAAAAAATTAAAATAGCGACATTAATAAGAATAAATTTATGTCTATTAAACTATTATTTAATATTCATATTTGCTATCGTGCATGACATAAATTATTGGAAAATCGGCTAATCTACTATATAAATGTTTGCATTTCCATTAATACCTAAAAATAATTCAAGGAAATCTATGATTTCATTGATACATGCTATCGCTATATAATATTAATACAATGGAATCTCGTAATAGCGCACTGTAAGGGGCTTTGAAACGCTATAACAAATAGTTACCCCCACTTTCGTGAAATTCAAGGCCATGGCGGCCACGCGAGATTTGCACGAACATGTCCTTTCAAGCAAAAGGGATGTTGTGCGCTATTCCCAGGTGCACTATTATAAAGTTCCATTGTAATATCATATATATATATACACATATGAAATATACTAGACAATAATATAACAATGCAAAAAAAATAATACTTTTTGTCTGATATATTTGTTTCAAATTATCACAAGATACGATATCAACATCTAGCATCCAGACTGGGTGGTGAGAAACTGAAACTATGAATATATAATTAAACCTAAGTTTCATTTTTGGGGAGTTAGGGGCTGGCCGAACTCCGCGAGGCGGACTCAATGTTAGTGCTGCATGTATAGCATGAGCTGGTAGACGCCATCTCGGGATTGTATAATTTGAATGCACTCCTACAGGTGTACATGGTCCTGGGGCGCAAAGAGGATTCTTTTCCACTTGGAGGGCACTCATGACCAAAGCTGCTCTGTTATGGTATCTGAAAGACATTGGCTGTCGACTTAGCACTAAATCTGTTATAGTGTTAATTAAGGTAAATAGTAGCTGAAGACTTGGATAAACAACCAATGTATGTGAAAAATTTACAATTTTGTCTACATATGGTAGTTTTATATTAATATTAGTATTAATATTTCATATTTCCGTTCATATTAGTATTTATTGATATTAATATTTATTATGGATATGAAAATGTGAAGTAAATTTCAGATGGAAAATTTTGCTAACAGATAATTTGTAGAAGAAACTTACTTTTTCAATAAAAGACGAATATGTGTATCAGAAACTGTCGGAAATACAGCATTGATTTTTGCCACTTGTGATTCAGAGTCGGAGTTTTGAGTAAAGCTTGTCTCTGTATTTCTTAATGGAGTTGGGGATTCTAAAGTTAAATCGCCGAACCGAGTTGTCACTGCACTGGCAGATTTCAGCGATAGTGGTGTTTTCAGCTCCTGCACATACACACAATTTAAACTGTATAACGATTGGAGAATGTTACAGATTGCAATCACTAATTACTGATAAACGCATGCATGATTCATGAGAATGAGAGGTGGGTCCAATATAAATATCTACTTACTTGTGCACTGGGAGGTAAAAATGCTAGTTGTGGATTATGATAAGGGGACGGTGTCGGATAAATTTGCGGAGCTCTATGACCACCTACATAACTTAAGTGCCCACCACTTCCGCCTCCTCCAGTCTATTTATTTGTGGTATATTTTGTGCGTTGCATCCAAATGCAGCGTGTGTATTACAAGAATACATACATTTAAAGTGTGATAAGATATGTTATAATTTCAATGTGAGATAGGAGATTTTTGTACATATAAAAGAGAACACAATTATATAGATGTAAATCAAGGGTATAATAATGTTTCACATTAGAAATTCTATTTTTTGAATAATAATGTTATAATTTTTCATTATTATTTACCATACCATATTTCTATTTCATATGATTAATGCGCTTTCATGGTGTAATAAAGTGATAAAATATATCACTTAAATGGATTGTATTTATTATAAAAACTAGAGAATGTTTTATATATATTTTTTCTTGGATAATTGTTAATAAATAACAATATTATACAAAAGTGTGATTTTATTTACTTTTAGTTAATTCACTAGATTTAATTTTTGAGACATTGTTTGAATGATCATTAATGAAAAAACATCTATTGTAATGTGGATAACACAATATTTTTTAATTAATTCTAAATTTTGCAAAAATTAAACAGAAGTTTCTTAGCATAAAAACAGTAAAATTTGAGTATTGCATGTTGGCACAATGTGTCAACAGAAACTAAATCAAATCTGAACATAACATGATGTCATGCTATAGTGTGGGCCAATGGACTTAGGTATTCAAACTTAACAGTAATATTGGATTAAAATATGTCAACACTATTTGCGCAGTTATTTACTCTAGCTATGCTATTAATTATATTATTAATTTAATGATTAATTTAAACCTCAACATTCTGATATTAGGATTTTTGTCTCCACTTGAGCTCAGAAATATGCCATTCAATTTATATTCGTGAGTTGCTGGACACTCTGTATATATCTTCATTCACACAGTAAAATTAATTCTCACTTTTATTTTTTCTATTACATAAGTTTTTATTTTCTCTCTTAAAGTTTCATAAAATATTATGTAACTTAATTAGATAATAAACATACAAAAAACGAACTATGTATATATATTTATGTATATATATTTTAAACAATCATTAAGAGTAGAGAGAGGGAGGGAGGGAGGGAGGGAGGGACGCAGGTCGATCTTACGACGCTCGTCGTCGGGAAATCGGGATCGAGAGATGGCGATACAGAAATACCGAATAGTTGTCTAAAAGTGTGTGACGGACGGACAGCTGGCCGTCATTAAAAA